GTCTGCCCAGCATCCCCAACCTCCCCCAGGCCCGTGACCACATATGACCCTTTGTGGCCACGGGTGAGAAATTAGGAGGCAGTCGCCCGGGTTTGAGCCCTCACCTGGCCATCCACCCCTGCTCCCTGGCGGCGGGTGGTCACTTTGGCTGAGGCTGTTTCCTCATCTGGAAACAGGGATCATAAGCTTGCCGCCCCCCTGGGGTGGTCGCCCAGGTGCAGTAAGGAAGCGCTTGCGCAGCGCCAGGCGCGGGCCGGCCCGCAGGGAGCGCGCGGTAACCGGCGCCGTGGTTGTTCTGCCCCGGGCCAGTTTGGCTCGCTCTTCAAGCCCTACATCCGCTACTGCATGGAGGAGGAGGGCTGCATGGAGTACATGCGTGGCCTGCTGCGCGACAACGACCTCTTCCGGGCCTACATCACGGTGAGGGCGCGAGTGCCACGGGTGGGGCGCAGGGGCGCAGGGGCGCAGGAGGATGGGACCCTGGGCGGGGCCGGGTGGGGCGGGTCCTTCCCTGAGCCCCACCCCCACTCCCCCACTCCAGTGGGCGGAGAAGCACCCACAGTGCCAGCGGCTGAAGCTGAGCGACATGCTGGCCAAGCCCCACCAGCGGCTCACCAAGTACCCGCTGCTGCTCAAGGCAGTGCTGAGGAAGACCGAGGAGCCGCGCGCCAAGGAGGCCGTCGTCGTCATGGTAACCCTGCTGTTCGGTGGGGGGGCGGGGCAGTCCCCCCTGCGCGGCTCTCTGTCCTGTCCAAACCCTGGGCCTGAAGCCCCCTCGCCTGCTCCTAGATCGGCTCCATGGAGCGCTTCATCCATCACGTGAACACATGCATGCGGCAGCGGCAGGAGCGGCAGCGGCTGGCGGCCGTGGTGAGCCGCATCGACGCCTACGAGGTGGTGGAGAGCGGCAGCGAGGAAGTGGACAAGGTGGGCGCGTGTGTTTGTGGGGCTTGCGGGCTGGGAGGGAGGAAGGCCAAGCTGGCAGGCCGGGGCTGTGCTGGGCATCCCACTGAGGATGCCTAGCTGAGAAGGGGGTCAGGCCCTGGCCTCCCCTACACTCAAGGCTGTCCATCCCCAGCTCCTGAAGGAATTTCTGCACCTGGACCTGACAGCGCCCATCCCCGGCGCCTCACCGGAGGAGACGCGACAGCTGCTGCTGGAGGGGAGCCTGAGGATGAAGGAGGGGAAGGACAGCAAGGTGACTCCAGGGCCACCCTCCCCAGTGCCCTGTCCTTCTTGGGGAACTGCTGGGCCCCTCTCAGCTCCCCAGTCACTTGGGCGATGACTCAAGAACCAGTGATCTTGTCATAGTGGATGACAGTTCTCTGCCTGCCATTTACAAGTCCAGCAGCAGGGTCCTAGCTCTTGGAAGTGCCAGTTGTGCCCACCTGTTGGTGCCATGTGGGTTCCTCGTGGGAGTGCGGCCACATTCCACAACTGGGCCAGGAACCCCAGAGCCCTGCTCCTGTGCTGTGGCCCCTTCAGGCACGGGGCAGCTGAGAGCGTGCACACAGTGACTTCAAAGTCAACACTTCTTTTTTTTTTTTGAGACGGAGTCTTGCTCTGTGGCCCAGGCTGGAGTGCAGTGGCACGATCTCGGCTCACTGCCATCTTCGCCTCCTGGGTTCAAGTGATTCTCCTGCCTCAGCCTCCCAGGTATCTGGGACTACAGGCATGTGCCACCACACCCAGCTAATTTTTTATATTTTTAGTAGAGAGGGGATTTCACCATATTGGCCAGGCTAGTCTTGAGTTCCTGACCTCGTGATCTGCCTGCCTCGGCCTCCCAGAGTGCTGGGATTACAGGTGTGAGCCACCATGCCCGGCCTCAGTCACCACTCTTCTTTTTAATGTAAACTTGCATTGAGATAAGTCTTCAACATACATCTCAGTGAAAGAGAATCATCTCCCTCTTCATTTTAATTTTACTTGAAGGTTCATGATGGGAGGAGTGCTTGACCAAAGCCGAGTGCTCCCAGGGGAGGCCGGTGCCACAGCCCTGGCCCTGACCCTGACCCTGCTGGCCTCTCTGGCCCCCTCACTGCAGATGGACGTGTACTGCTTCCTCTTCACGGATCTGCTCTTGGTGACCAAGGCAGTGAAGAAGGCCGAGAGGACCAAGGTCATCAGGCCACCACTGCTGGTGGATAAGATCGTGTGCCGGGAGCTACGTGACCCTGGTAAGGAGCCCTGGTCTCCTGGTTCTGGGCGGGGGCCGTCGTCCCTGCTGACACTGACTTGGGCCTTCCCTACCCAGGCTCCTTCCTCCTTATCTACCTGAATGAGTTTCACAGCGCTGTGGGGGCCTACACGTTCCAGGCCAGTGGCCAGGCCTTGTGCCGTGGCTGGGTGGACACCATTTATAATGCCCAGGTGAGCAAAGAGTGGTGAGTGGGCAGCAGGGCCGACGGGGGAGCTGCTGGTCACGACCCGTTCTGCTTAGTGCCCCCCAACCCTTCTTGTAGAACCAGCTGCAGCAGCTGCGTGCACAGGAGCCCCCAGGCAGCCAGCAGCCCCTGCAGAGCCTGGAAGAGGAGGAGGATGAACAGGAGGAGGAAGAGGAGGAGGAGGAGGAAGTCGAGGAGAGTAGCACTTCAGCTGCCAGCTCCCCCACCATCTTGCGGAAAAGCAGTGGCAGCCCCGACTCTCAGCACTGGTATGTCTGCTCGTGACCACCCAGCAGGTCAAAGTAGGACAAGTACTCCAGCCTAGGACTCCTGGAGGCCCAGCCACGTCCCCACCCTCCCAATGGCCTCTGTCATGAACCCGGTGGGAGCGGGGCTCTGTCTCCCCCGGAGTCCAGGTGAGGAGGGCAGACACCTTTCCACATGCTGCCAGCTCTGACCTGTTCGTGGAAGTTGCCTGGGGTGCTGTGCTGAGGATCCTTAGAGCAGGTCCAGCCTTGACAGGGAAGAGTGCTGGGCGTGCTACTGAGGTCTGTTGTGGGCACTGGAGCTGGAAGATCTGCCACACCTGCCACATGCTGCCATCTCTGAGTCTCCAGCCCCAGTAGGGCAGAGGCTGTACACCACTCAGTGTGCGCTGCCCAGCCCGGGGCTGCCTCAGGCCACCTAGGCTTCATGGCCTGGGCTGACTCTGCTTCCGGCCCCACAGTGCCTCGGATGGCTCCACGGAGACCCTGGCCATGGTTGTGGTGGAGCCTGGGGAGACGCTGTCCTCGCCAGAGTTCGACGGTGGTCCTTTCAGCTCCCAGTCCGATGAGACCTCTCTCAGCACCACTGCCTCATCCACCACGCCTACCTGTGAGCTGCTGCCCCTGGGCCCAGTGGACGGCCGCTCCTGCTCCATGGACTCTGCCTATGGCACCCTCTCCCCAACCTCCTTACGAGACTTTGTGGCCCCAGCCCCTGTGGCAGAGCCAGTGCCTCAGCCCACAGAGACCCCACGAGCTCCTTCCCCTCCACCCTCGCCCCGTCTCCGCCGCCGCACCCCTGTACAGCTGCTGACCTGCCCGCCCCACCTGCTCAAGTCTAAGTCTGAGGCCAGCCTCCTCCAGCTGCTGGCAGGGGCTGGCACCCATGGGGCACCCCCTGCCCCCAGCCGCAGCCTGTCAGAGCTCTGCCTGGCTGTTCCAGCCCCAGGTATTAGGACTCAGGGATCCCCTCGGGAAGCTGGGCCCAGCTGGGATTGCCAGGGGGCCCCCAGCCCTGGCAGTGGTCCTGAGCTGTCAGAGCCAGAGGACAGAAGCAGCTGCCTGGCCGGGGAACCTGCAGGCTCCGACAGGAAGAGATGTGGAGAGCTGCCCTCGGGGGCCTCTCCCGCGGTCCAGCCTGAGCCCCCACCAGGGGTCTCCACTCAGCACAGGAAGCTGACCCTGGCTCAACTCTACCGAATCCGGACCACCCTGCTGCTTAACTCCACGCTCACTGCCTCGTGAGTGGCCTGGCCTGGGGTAGGGCAGGCAGCTCAGGGCGCTGGCATGGGGCCCAGTCATGCCTGGGATCGTCACATTTGGGGAGGGTGACGGCGGAGGGAGCCTGAACCCTGCCCAGTGTCTGGGTGTAGGGAGCTGTGAAGGTGCCTGAGGAGTGCTCTGGGGAGGAGAGGGTGGCCAGAGCCACTCTGAATGGCATCAGCCAAAGGACTCTCTCCCGTCCCCACCCTGCAGGGAGGTCTGAGGAGAGGGAGGCCCCAAGAGTGCCACTGACCAAGAGACAGCAGATAGCCTGCCTCCTGGGGTGTGCCAGCACCTGCTTCAGCCACTGCCTCCGTGTGTGTGAGCCGGATGCTGGGCAGGACCCCTGCCTATGCCTGGCCCGATTTGTGCTTTGCCAGACTGGATGGAGTGGAGAGTGGAGGTGGCTTGGGCTACAGTACCACCCCCACCTTTGCAGGCAGCCCCTCGTCACCTACTCCCTGAAGTTACCAGCTCGACTCTTCAGGGCTGGGCTCCCAGGCTGCCCATCCCTCTTCCACCCTCACTGGCCTCCAGTGGGACTCACTCCTGCCCCACCCCCACCTTCCCAGTCCCACAGGCCGCCTTTGGCTTGCGCTGGTCCTGTAAAGTTGCATATTTATTGAACTTTTGGTTCTTTTATAAAGACTCGTCTAGACTCCACTGGGAAGAGTCCTTTGCTTTGGGGCCCAGTGACTCGGTGCCTTGAGCTCAGGGCGGCCTCCTGTGTTCCTGTGCCCCTCTACGTGCCACAGATGGAGCTTGTGGGAAGCATCTGGGAAATAATGGGGGGATGGGGTGTCACCGGACCAACACCCCCGGACTTCCCCATCCTCAGCCACAACCAGAGCCTCTCCCCAGATGCCCCCTGGGATTCAGGGCCGAATCTGCCCAGTTCCCACACTCAGGCCAGCTCTCTGGGGAAGGTGGGTCCCCCGTGGGGGGTCCCTTCAGGTACTTTAAATACAGAGTCTCACTCTGTTGCACAGGTTGGAATACAGTGGTGTGATCTCAGCTCACTGCAACCTCTGCCTCCCGGGTTCAAACAATTCTGCCCCAGCCCCACTGGTAGCCGGAGCTGCAGGTGTGCACCCCCATGCCCGGCTAATTTTTGTATTTTAAGTAGAGACGGGGTTTCACCATATTGGTCAGGCTGGTCTTGAACTCCTGACCTCAAGTGGTCCACCCGCCTTGGCCTCCCAAAGTGCTAGAATTACAGGCGTGAGCCACTGTACCCGTCGCCTTCAGGTACTTTTCACCCAACCCCCTCCCTGGCTGGGGGTGCGGAGGTCGAGAGAGAAGTCACTTGCCCTGTCTCTACCTTGTAGTGGTTCTCAGGGTTGGGGTGAGACTTGGTGTGGGGACTGGGATGCATCTCTGTTCTGTGGCCCTGGTCGCGTTCGCACGTTCTCCCTGGGCCTGTCAGCTGGCGCCAAATGAGCTCAGGTGGGGGGGTGGAGGTTCCCGGTCAAACTCCGTCGGGCTCCGCGGCCCCGCCCCTCCTCCAGGCGGGCCCTTCTAGATGGCGCGGGGCGGGCCCTGCGGGCGCGGGGCTAAAGGCGGAACCACGGCGGGAAGAGGGGACGGAGCCGGGAAGCCCCTGGGCGCCCGTCGGAGGGCCTAGCGCGGCGCGGAGGGCCATGGAGCAGCGGCCACGGGGCTGCGTGACGGCGGCGGTGGCTGCGGTGAGTTGAGGCGCAGGAGGCGAGGGGCAGCTTTGAGTCTTGTCCCAAGAGCCTCGACGAAGGAAGGAAGGGGCCTCCCCAGGCGCGACTGACTCCACTGCAAGCCTCGCTGGGGGCTGGGCTGGCCGCCCCTTCCGACCTAGTTGGAGGCTCCGCCAGGGCGAGGCCCTTCCACTGAGAGGAAACCCCTCCCAGGGGGTCTGAGGGCCCCAGGCAGAGAATCATCAGTGTTCCTCCCCAGCAGAAAGCATGGGTAGGGGTGGGGGCGCTGCCGGGTCCCTGCCCTGGTGGCGGAAAACTTGTGCGGGACTGGCAAGAGCCCCCTCCTCTGCCCCTCCCAAGCCCAGTGTGTGCACAGGAGAAGGAAGTTAGTCCCATCTCCACCCTGGGCACCCCTTCTGCCCGGGGCCTGGGAAGTGGGGTGCTCTGTGGACAAATGCTGGGGCCTCTGAAACGGAGGAGATGTGGCAGGGAGAGGCCCCACGTGGGCAGCTGCGCAGAGAGTCAGCAGCACCTGTCCCCCAGGCGCTCCTCTTGGTGCTGCTGGTGCCCCAGGCCCAGGGTGGCACTCGTAGCCCCAGGTGTGACTGTGCCGGTGACTTCTACAAGAAGATTGGTCTGTTTTGTTGCAGGGGCTGCCCAGCGGGTAAGTGGCCACAGGGGTGGGAGGGGCATGGGGCAGGCTGGGCTGGAGAGGTGGCGGGCAGGCCAGGGAGGTAAAAGGAGACTGGTGGAGGAGGTGGGGGGGGGCTGACAGAGAAATAGGGAGCTGGAGAGAAGGAAGGAGGGAGGGAGTGCATGGCGGGGAGCAGGTGGGGGGGTGCTGGGCAGCCCCTCTTCCTGCCTGACCCCTGCCTGGTTCCACAGGGTACTACCTGAAGGCCCCCTGCACGGAGCCCTGCGGGAACTCTACCTGCCTTCCGTGTCCTCGAGACAGCTTCTTGGCCTGGGAGAACCACCATAATTCTGAATGTGCCCGCTGCCAAGTCTGTGATGAGCAGGGTGAGGGGCTTCTCAGTGCTTGGCAGGGGGCTCCTAAGGACAGGCCTTTCAGAAGGAAGTGGCTGGCTTGGGCCCAACCTTGGGGTATGAGGGTCCTGTGCCCACCCTTGCCAGAACCCTCCACCCTGATCCTCCTTCGGGATGCCCTTGCCCCTTCTCTCTTCCTGGTGACCTTTGCGTCTGTCCATGTGCGTTGGCCTCTGGTTGGCCTTGATCTCTGAGCTTCTCTTTTAGGGTAGCCCTGCACGTGTCTGTCTCTCGCCTATTCCTGTCCCCATTATCTTGGTGGGGGAAGTCTGCCTCTGCCTTTGCCACCCCACGGGAGCCTCTGGCCCTGACCAACTCTCCATTCCCCATCTCCCTGCACCCCACCAGCCTCCCAGGTGGCCCTGGAGAACTGTTCTGCAGTGGCAGACACCCATTGTGGCTGTAAGCCAGGCTGGTTTATGGAGTGCCAGGTCAGCCAGTGTATCAGCAGCTCACCCTTCTACTGCCGACCCTGCCTAGACTGCAGGGCCCTGCACCGCCACACGAGGCCACTCTGTGAGTACCCCCACCCAGGGCTAATCTACTCCCAGACCCCCTTCCCCTGCCTGCCTTACTCCTGTCCCATGCTGACCCACGCCTATCCTGGACTGCAGGTTCCCGCTATGATACTGACTGTGGGACCTGCCTGCCCGGCTTCTATGAACACCGTGATGCCTGCGTGTCCTGCCCCACGTAATTCCTAGCTGTCTTGGGATGGAGGGAAGGGCTGCTGGGAGCAAGGTGGGGGCCTGGGGTGGGGCAGGTGCTGCCAGTTCAGGAATGGGAAGAGGGGACAGGGAGTAGAGAGCTTGGTTCTGTGGTGGGTGGGGCCCACTTCAGGCAAACTTAGATGGCAAAAGAGAAATCTATATCCACCTTAGCCAGATAAATAAGGGTGTATGCCTTCACTTTCAGCCAGCATGCCCCCACCCAACCATCCTTCCAGCCAGATATTATAGATGGATTTGTCACTTATACAGAGTCACATTGATACAGCTTTAAAACTTGGGCTGAAGGAGGTTGAGGCTGCAGTGGGCTATGATAGTGCCAATGCACTTCAGCCTGGGCAGCAGAGGGAGACCTCATCTATTAAAATCAATAAATACAAACAAACTTGGGCTTAGAGTCAGGATTGTGCCGCTGGTTCTCTAGGGTATCTTCGGCAAGTTCAGAGAATTAACCTATCTGATGTGTGGTGGCCCTTTCTGAACATGGGGATGTTAGTAGGTTCTTCACAGGCCTTTGATCTTTGATTAGAGGTAAGGGACTTTCTGTATCCATTCAAGTCTTTTTTTTTTTTTTTTTGAGATGGAGTCATGCTCTGTCACCCAGACTGGAGTACAGTGGTTCGATCTCGGCTCACTGCAACCTCCGCCACCCACGTTCAAGTGATTCTCCTGCCTCAGTCTCCCAAGCAGCTGGGACTGTAGGTGCATGCCACCATGCCTGGCCAATTTTTGTATTTTTAGTGGAGACGGGGTTTCACCATGTTGACCAAGATGGTCTTGATCTCTTGACCTTGTGATTCATCCACCTTGGCCTTCCAAAGTGCTGGAATTCCAGATGTGAGCCACCTCGCCCGGCCTCCATTCAAGTCTTTATTGAACATCTGCTATGTTCTAGACACTGTTCTAGGTGCTGGGGATACAATAGAGAACAAAATAGGCAAAAATCCCCGTCCTTTTGGGGTTGACATTCTAGTGACTCTTCAGGTAGTCTAGAAGAAGCTCAGTGAATATTATCTGCCGTTATTGTTCCTGGGGACACAATGACAGGAGCATTCTTGGGTAGAGTGAGGCTCACAGGAGAGAGGCCTGGGGAGGGAAGGGTCTCTAGGGTGGAGCAGATACTGGGCAGTCTTGGGGAGCCCCTCCTGGTGTGCACCCCCTCATCCCTCAGGCCACCCCCCTCCCTTGCAGGAGCACCCTGGGGAGCTGTCCAGAGCGCTGTGCCACTGTCTGTGGCTGGAGGCAGAGTAGGTGGTGTGCTGGGAATGCGAGTGGGAGAACTGGGATGGGCCAAGCGGAGGCGGGTGGGGGTGGTTACCACCCAACACCCACCGGCTGCTTTCAGTGTTCTGGGTCCAGGTGCTCCTGGCTGGCCTTGTGTTCCCCCTCCTGCTTGGGGCCACCCTGACCTACACTTACCGCCACTGCTGGCCTCACAAGCCCAGGGTTACTGGTAAGTACACGCAGGGTCAGGATGGGTAGCCCAGAGTCTACTCAATGCTGATACAGAAGGGGAAACTGAGGCAGGGAGTGTGGGTGCAGAGGAACCCTAGAGGAGCTGCACCAGCACCCAGGTCCAGGAGGCCTGCCTGGTTGCTGACTGACTGCAGTCTCTCTGTGTCAGCAGATGAAGCTGGGATGGAGGCTCTGACCCCACCACTGGTAAGAACTTCACTGTGTGATTCGGGCCTGCCTTCTGGAGCTGGAAGATCAAGCCTTATTGTGATCCCTAGAGCTTGGCACGTGGCCAGCACAGGATAGCCCTGGTGGATGGAGGTGTTGGGAGCTGAGTCATCAGTGGATTAGCCCAGCACAGTGCCTGCCCTCAAGGGGTGCTCAGTCAGCTGGGGTTCAGACATGTACACAGGCGCTAACAGTCCAATGGAGGGAATGCCCCATGGTGCTGCGGGACAGTAGGAAGGAGACAGGGGCAGGGGACTCAAGGCAGAGGCAAGAATTCTGCGGGGCCATAGTGAGAGCAGGGCCAACTTGGGGAGGTGTCATTGCAGGGGTGTCTGCTGACTGAACCAGGGACTGTCCCCTCCTGGACAGGCACTGCAACTAAGGGGCCTTAGCAAGCAGGACTGACCTGGGGCCCCTCTTGGCTTCCAGGCCACCCATCTGTCACCCTTGGACAGTGCCCACACCCTTCTAGTGCCTTCTGACAGCAGTGAGAAGATCGGCACCGTTCAGTTGGTGGGCAACGGCTGGACCCCTGGCTGCCCCCAGTCCCAGGAGGTCCTCTGCCCGCAGGTGACATGGTCCTGGGACCAGTTGCCCAACAGAGCTCTTGGTAAGGGATGTCAGTGGCCCGAGGCCTTGACCTCATTCTCCTGTCTGAGGCAGGAAATTGCAGTTTCACAACATATCCACTTTCCGCCCCCTAACTGACCGGGTCCATCCTCTGTGCCCTGACCGGCGGGATCCAGCGGGTTTCTGGCCTAGGGTACCTTCACGAACGCCCCTGACTCCGCCTTCTGACCGCAGCCCGCGTACCCCATTGGCTCTCTCTGGCTCTGCCCCAGGCCCCGCTCCTGTGCCCACGCTCTCGCCAGAGTCCTCAGCGGGCTCGCCAGCAGTAATGCTGCAGCCCGGCCCGCAGCTCTACGACGTGATGGATGCGGTCCCCGCCCGGCGCTGGAAGGAGTTCGTGCGCACGCTGGGGCTGCGTGAGGCGGAGATCGAAGCCGTGGAGGTGGAGATCGGCCGCTTCCGAGACCAGCAGTACGAGATGCTCAAGCGCTGGCGCCAGCAGCAGCCCGCGGGCCTGGGCGCCGTCTACGCGGCCCTGGAGCGCATGGGGCTGGACGGCTGTGCAGAGGACTTGCGCAGCCGCCTGCAGCGCGGCCCGTGACACAGCGCCCACTCGCCACCCAGGCGCTCTGGTGGCCCTTGCAGAAGCCCTAAGTACGGTTACTTATGAGTGTAGACATTTTATGTCACTTAGTAAGCCACTGGCACGGCCCTGCGTAGCAGCACCAGCCGGCCCCTCCCCTGCTCGCCCCTATCGCTCCAGCCAAGGTGAAGAAGCACGGACCAATGTCGAGAGGGGGTCAAGAAATTTCTGTTTCTTGGCCAGAGTTCGGCTGAAATTGTGGTATTAAATCTGTGGAAAAAAAAAAAGCGGCGACTTCTTGGCGTTTCTGCGGGGCTGGGGGTGTTAAGTGACCTGGACTTGTTTTCCTGGGGTAGTCGAAGGGGTCGGGAATCTTGTCACCCCTGGGTCTGGCACCCATGGTGGAGTCCATTGTGGCCTTAGCTCCCAAGCCTGCCCCTCCCGAGTCCACTCTGGCCCAATTACCCCGAGAAGAGAGCAAGCCGCAGCCACAGTCAGTGAGTGCACGGGAGCCCCGGGCGGATGAAAGTGCTTTAATGGGGCTGTGAGGTGGCAGGGTCAGGGTCGGGTGGGGTGCCAGGGACAGGGTCGGGTGGGGTGCAGCAGCTGGAGACACAGGGTCGGGGCCCCTCATCCTCTATTCACTCTACTGGGACAGTGACAAGGTCTGGGAAGCGAGGGGGCCTGGCTGGGGATGGGCGCAGACTTGAGGGAGGTGGGGCAGAGTGGGGTCCTGGGAGCCGCAACTGCGGCCCGGCCCGGCAGACAGGCAGTTTTCGTCGTTTCTGGTAAACAAATGACTGAGAGGAAACCCTCGGCGGGGATTAGAAATGACGCCCTGGCTGGGCCGGCGTAGATCTGGGTCAGGGAGTGAGGGAAAACCCCTTCCCCGAGCTCGGGGCCTGCCTCCACCCAGGATGCGCCTGCGACACCGGTTCCGGGGTGCGGGGGAGGGGGCTGCATCCTGGAGGGGGCTGAGCCCCGCAGGAAAACAGAGTCAACCATCCACGGGGCTGGGGAGAGCTCTGCACTCTTTGATAGTCAAGAAACATGCAAACATATGTAAGTCGCATGCAAATAAGCAGCATTTTTTTTGTTGTTGTTTGCATCAGCAGCTTGGGCACTTTTTCTGGGCGACTGGGGCGGTGGGTGCACTCCAGTGTCGCCAAGGGCTGGGGATGCAGGGGCCAGGGTGGGGAGTCGGGGAGGGTTTCCAGCGCCGGAGGGGAGGGCTGTGGGGCTCCCAGCCCTTCCACTGGGGCCTGGCTGGCTGGGGTTGGGGCAGGGGGCCCCTGGCAAGAGGCCTGGCTTCTAGTACTTAGCGATGTCCCCCTTCTTCAGGATGACCTGTCGCTGCCAGGGTGCCAGCTTGCTCTCATCATAACCCAGCGTCCGCAGCTTCTCTGACTGCTCCTTCTCCCGCTGCATCTCCTCCTGCTTCTGTCGCTCCTCTTCTTTCCTGAGGGTGGGGGTGGGGGCAGACCCAGTGAAGTCTGGGGCCACATATCGGGGCTGGCAGAAAGGGTGGGCTAGGCCCCAGGCAGAGGCCAGGCCACCCATGTAAGGAGTGGGTTACTGAGGGAGGGGGCTGGGTTGCTGAAGACAGAGGGGCTAGATCGGGGGCAGAATGGGGTTACCGGAGCACAGGGGAGCTGGGGGAGTGGGAGGCTGAGGCTGGGTTATTGTGGGCTGGGATGTTACTGGAAACAAAGCTGCTGGGTCACTGGCTGGCACCGTGTGAGGAGGAGGTGTGGCAGGGTGCAGTGGCAAGATGACGGGACCAGGACTTGAGTTGTTGGGGAGCTGTTGATATGAATTACTGAGGACTGGGGTGGGGCTGCTAGGGAGCAGAGAGACCATATAATTGAGAGACAACAATTGAGAATTAGAGACAGGTTATAAGAACATAGAGAGTAGATGTGCCCGTTGACAGAATAGCCACTAAACACGTGTGGCCTCTGAGCATTTGAAATGTGGCTGGTCTAAATTGTGACGGATTGCAGGTGTAAACTGTGCACCATATTTCAAAGACGAAGTTTGATTGTAATTATTAATTATTGGAGACAGGGTCTCGCTCTGTTGCCTCCCACCTCAGCATCCCAAGTAGCTGGGACCACCGGCGTGTGCCACTACACCCAGCTAATTAAAAACATTTTTTGTTGTTGTTGCAGGCCAGGTGCTGAGGCTCATGCCTGTAATCCCAGCACACTGGAAGGCCAAGGAGGGTGGATCATCTGAGGTCAGGAGTTCAAGACCAGCCTGACCAACATGGTGAAACCCCACCTTTACTAAAAATACAAAAATTAGCTGGGCATGGTGGTGGGTGCCTGTAATCCCAGCTACTTGGGAGGCTGGGGCAGGAGAATCGCTTGAACCCGGGAGGTGGAGGTTTCAGTGAGCCGAGATCCCCACTGCTCTCTAGCCTGGCTGACAAGAGTAAAACTCTGTCTCCAAAAAAAAACAATTGTTTGCAGAATGAGGTCTCACTGCATTGCCCAGGCTGGTCTCAAACTTCTGGGCTCAAGCGGTCCTCTAGCCTCAGCCTCTCAAAGTGCTGAGATTACAGGTGTAGGCCACCATGCCTGGCCAAAGACTTACAAGAGGAGTATAAAACATCTCATTAATAATTTTCATATTATTATACGTTGAAATAATAGTTCTGATATTTTGTGTTAAATAAAACTGTGAAAACTAAGCTCACCTATATTCTTCTACTGTGGCTACTAGAAATTTTTTTTTTTTTTTTGAGACGGAGTTTCGCTCTTGTTACCCAGGCTGGAGTGCAATGGCGCGATCTCGGCTCACCGCAACCTCCGCCTCCTGGGTGCAGGCAATTCTCCTGCCTCAGCCTCCTGAGTAGCTGGGATTACAGGCACGCGCCACCATGCCCAGCTAATTTTTTGTATTTTTAGTAGAGACAGGGTTTCACCATGTTGACCAGGATGGTCTCGATCTCTTGACCTCGTGATCCACCCGCCTCCCAAAGTGCTGGGATTACAGGCGTGAGCCACCGCGCCCGGCCTAGAAATTTTTAAATTACATATGTGACTCACATTATATTTCTATCGGACAGCACCGGGCTGGGTGAGATTACCAGAGGCAGAAACTACGTTCTGAGGGGCAGACAATCAAGGCGATTGATACTAGGGTGAGGTTAACTGATGGGTAGAAAAAGCCAGGTTAGTAGGAAGCAGGGACTGAGTAGCCAGGAGCAAAGTTATCAGAGCACGAGAGAGAGATTCTGAGCACAGGGGTTGGGGCATTGCCAGGAGGAAAGAGGGTGTGCTACAAGGGCTAAGGGACAGGAGGATGCGCTCAAGTCAGCCTGGATGAAGGAATGACCCTCTGCGACGTGGGTGGGGCTAAGGGTGGCAGGTTGGGGCCAGCCCTGCACTCACCGCTTCTGCTCCCTGGAAGGAAAAAGAGACAGTGTCACTTGGTACCTCCACCTCAGGGATGCAGTCAAGACCCCCTGCCAGGCCAGCCTCTGCTTGACCCCCAGCTCACCTCTCCTCTTCCAGCTTCTTCCGCAGGAGGTCCCGCCTCCAGGCAGGCATGCTGGCCAGCCGGGCCTCCTCCTCCTCCTCCTGAAACACAACCACAAAGCTTCAGGGCCCGCAGGGGCTTTGAGATAGGGGGCACCCTCAACCAGGGGACCTGAAGGAGTCAGGGTCACAGGAAGAGACCCTTTTGATGCACTTCTGTGGGACAAGTGGATGGAGGTGCCTGGTTACAGCCCCCTAGGAGCCAGCCTCCTCTCCCCTAGTAACCCAGACCCTTGTGTCCAACAGGAGGCGCCAGAGAGATCAGAGCCGAGTGGGACGGAAATAGAATAAGTAGCATGAACCCAGAGGTCCGGAGCCTGATCCCGCACAGGGGCAGGTGGACAGATGGCCCCAGGCCCAGGACCTCTGGACAGATGCAGATGTGGGCCCCCACCACCCTCTTGGCTCAGGGAGACTCAGGCTGCCCGTGGCTCCCCTGCAAAGGACCTTGCTCATGCTTGCCCTCTTCCCAACGGAGTGAACACCTGCTCTACAATCACGGGGCTGCAATGACATCGGGACAGGTGTGCTGTCCAATGTAGGCAGTTTACAGCAAAGAGTTTTATTTCCTGAATGTTACAGGAGAACAGAGGGCCTGTACACTGCACACTTCACAGACAACACTGCACACGTCCCTTGACCTCAGCCAAGGAGGTAGCTGTGAACTGCAGTGGAAAACCAGAGAGCAGACCACATTGCCGCAAGGGGAACCCGCAGCCCTCACTCAGAGGGGCTCCTTTTGCTGCCTGGCTCCACACAGAGCACAGCAAGGCCTGGGTCCCAGAGGGGGACACCTGGTTTGTTTCGTGCATGACCTGCCTATCCGGCCAAGCCCCACATCCTGCCACGATGGGACCTCAGAGGCTGAGGCGGCCTGGTCCTGGGCCCTCTGGGCGGTTCAAGGTCACCATCCTGGGTTCTTCCCGCTGCTGCCGGCCTCCAGAGGGCGTCAGACAGACGTCCAGGCACACGTTAAGATGCTCGAGGGTGAACTGCGAATTCCAAATTCCGCTGCTCAGATGTCAAATAGCTCTGCCTCCTTCTCCTTCCAGAAGGAGAAGCTGCGGTCGATGTAGCGGCAGATGTCCTCGTTGCTGAACTCGCCCATCTCAGACACCAGTTCCAACGGGTCTTCGGCGGGGCCTTCGGATCCAGGAGAGTCTGAGGTCGGGGGAGGCGCAGCGGGCGGGGGCGGCGGCTGCGGGGCAGCGGCCGGGGATTCGGGCTGCCCCTCGGGCGGGTCCCCAGTCTGAACTGGGGCGGCTTCTTCCATCCGCTCCTGTTCTTTCTCCTTCTCCTCTTCCTTTTTCTTTGCCTGTTCTTCGGGGGCTGGCTCAGTCTCCAGGCCGTCTCCGAAGAACCGGTGCCTGAGGTCCTCGAAGCCATCGCTCCAGCTGCGCCGGCCGGCCTCCACTTCCTCCAGCACCGCACGGTGGAAGAGGCGGATGCGCTCCCACGGGTGGCTGCCCAGCCGGTCGAACATCTCGTAGCACAGCAGGTGGCGGAACTTGCGCTCCTCGCGGCTCAGGCCCATCTCCAGCAGCTGGAAGTAGCCGAGCATGAAGAGGTCGAGCGTGAGGCTGTCGTAGCTCGGGGGTGCGCCGCCGTCCAGGGGCGGCAGGAAGTGCTGGGGCCAGTAAAGGCCGTGCGCCAGGCCCGGGCTTGCCGGCACGCGCCGCAGCAGGCTCCGCCAGTGGCCCAGCAGCTTGCCCACCGCCTGCCGTTGCCTCAGCAGCTGCCGCAGCCGTTCATCGGGGCCGTGGGCCACGCTGTTGCTCGCCGGCGGCCGGGGGTCATCTGTGGCGTCCGCGGCCTCCAGCCCCGGGCCGGCACCGGCGGCCACCACGCGGGGCAGCAGTCTGCGTAGGCGCGCCTGGGCGCGGTGGCCCGGGCCTCGGAAGGCCCAGCGGCGCCAGTGCTCCAGGAAGAGGTAGACGATGCGCTCCTTGCGCAGGTCGAGGTAGTCCTCGACGTCGCGCAGCTCGGTGCAGAGGGGCGGCCGTCGCGCCAGCTCCTCGGGCTCAGGCAGCGCCGCCTGGCGATCCTGCGCCTCGGGAGGGCCCAGGGTGCCCAGGGGCTCCCAGTGGGCCAGTGGGCAGTGGGCGGCGGCGGCGGCGGCGACCGCGCTGGGCTGGTTGGAGCCGGCTGCCACGTAGTCCTCTTCCAGGATGGGCTCACGGCCGGGGCCGCCGGCGGACTGCGGGGGCTTGCTGCGCGGACAGCGCGCGGGCGCCGCGTCCCGCGCGCGCAGCTCATAGGTGGCGCGGAGATGCTTTACCGAAACGCCGCACTCGAGGATCTCGCGCGCCACGGCCTCGCGGCACCAGCTGAGCGAATGCGAGCGGCCCAGACACTGCGGCCCCGGCCGCCAGGGCGCGTCGGGCAGCGGCGCCAGGGGCTGGCCCGTGTCGGCTGTCAGCAGCTCCGCCAGGTGCGCGGGCCGGCCGCCCAGCGTGGCCAGCAGCGTGGCCATGCTCTTGAGCAGCGTGGAAATCTTGCTGCACCAAGCGGGCAGGCTGGCGGCGCGGCCGTGCATGCGGCGCGGGTCGACGGTGAAGCGCGGCGCCGACAGGGCGGCTGAGACGGGCAGCAGCTGCTCCAGCTCCAGCTCCAGCTGCTCCAGGCGGTCCTCCAGCTTCTTCGCCTTGTGCAGCACCTGCAGGTTCTCGATTTGCTGCTCGATGCGGAGGATGTCGGCCTCGGTCATGAGCTCGCCGAAGGGCCCGAGGATGGCGTTGTGCTCGCTGGAGTATCTCCAGCCCTCGCGGGGGTAGCAGCATGAGCTGGCGGTCGTCAGCTAAGGCGGGGAAGACAAGAGAGGGGAGGGAGGCGCGTCTGCTTCTGGCCCAGCTCCCGCCGTTGCGCCGGGAACCTTTTGCATGTCCTAGGTGGTGTAATGGCTCCGCCGGGCTGCGTCTGCAGGGAGGGGCCGCGTCTGGCCGGCGAGGGGGTGACGCTGGGGCGAGGCTTCAGCCCGGGCCGCCGCTCCGGGCTCTGGTAATATCCACTTTGGTCGCTGGCGAGGGCCACAGCCGGTCGTTGGTCGCTGCTGCGGCGGCAAGGACGACAGGCCGGCAGACGGGGTCTCCACGCCTGGGTTAGTCGCTCATTACACCACCCAAGGAACATGCAAAAGGCGTTGAAGCTGAGAGGCGCGGTGGCCCTCCCCAATCCTATCAGATAGCAACTATTGTGAGGCCTCTCCTCCCAGACCCACGACCCCTTCTCAAGCTCCCCTGTGGTCCAAGCCTTCCTGGTCCTTGTGGGCAATGTTTTAAGTGCAGAATGAGAGGCCACTCCACGCTTAAAGAGGCTACAGCTGCCGGGCGCGGTGGCTCAAGCCTGTAATCCCAGCACTTTGGGAGGCCGAGGCGGGTGGATCACGAGGTCAAGAGGTCGAGACCATCCTGGTCAACATGGTGAAACCCCGTCGCTACTAAAAATACAAAAAATTAGCTGGGCATGGTGGTGCGTGCCTGTA